TCGTCTCTTGGGGCAGTCTAGTCTGCTGCTTTAATGCTAATCCTATACTCCCCAAGAGTTTAGGAGATCTGGATCCAGGAAAGCTAGAAGAGAAGACCTGGCTCAGGAAGTGTGAGATAGGTATGCCACTCCTTCTGCTGTACCCCAGCAAGGGGTACTGCTGTGCTGGTACCCAGAGAAAGGTTCCCTTGTCCCAGAGCAAGTATCTCAGGGTCAGTGATACCTCCCAATATGTGGTAGAGGTCACTTTTCTTAGATTAGATTGTTATGGCCAAAGAGATTGCTCTTAGTGTTAGTATTTGAAAAGTTTAATCCTTTGGGTTTACCTATGCTACTACCTCCTGTTCATTGAATCCAAATTTAGAGCTTTCACTTGCTGCTCTGGACTTTTCTTTTGTTGCTCCACTGTTTCCCCAGGTACACTACTCTCTAGTACCCCAGACCACTCACTCTTTGTCTTAGTTATCTAGTGCTGCCATAATAAACAAATACCACAAGTAGGTAGCTTTAAAGAACAGAAATTTATTTTCTCACAGTTCTGGAAGTTGAAAGTCCAACTCAGGGTCTCGGCTGTGTTGATTCCTTCATAGGCCTTACTTCTAGTTTCTGGTGTCTGCTGGAAATCTGTGGCTTTATTTTGCTTGTAGACGGGTTCTCACATGGTATGTGCCTTCCCCCTGTGTGTGTCCATGTCAGTTCTGCTCTTTATATAAGATACCACTCAGAAGTGACTAGGTTTAAGACCCACCTTATTCTGGTAGGGCCTCACTAACATAACAAAAGAAAAATCCCTTTTATAAACAGAGTCGTATTTACAGGTACAGGGATTAGGACTTTCACGTATTTTTTTTGAGGGGATACAGTCAATCCATAACACTGTTCCCCTAAATGTCCTATCTCTATGACTTCACTCATGCTGCCCACTTGCTCCCAAAGCCACAAAGTGGGATCTTTGCTATTGTTGAAATTCTACCCATTCCCTAAGACCCAGCAGCTCATATGACATTGTTTCACAACAGTTCCTTGCTCCAGAGGGAATTACTCTCTGACATCACTGGGCTTCTGTTTCTCTATTAGGATCCTCACTTCACTAGATTTTTGTACTGTGGGTATGACCAAACCCAAAGATTCTCAAGAGCAAAAACTATGTCTTGTTAGCAGTCCTTATAGCACTTAGCAATGCTTTGAACATAGTGGCATCTAGGTTTTTAAAAATTAAATGGAAAGTCTTGTCTAATTTCTCCTGCTTTGCTTCTTGAGAGGCTGCCCGTAAAGCACATATTCTTTCCTACTGAGTCTTTAACACCTCCTAATTGTGCACCAACTCTAAGTATCCTTTACTTGAAGATTGTTTTCTTCCAAATAGTGATAAGGGTGTTTAGTCAGATCCGAGTGAATGCCAGTTCCTTTGGAAGGCCGTGGATTGAAAGTTGGTAAACACAAGATGAATATCAATGGAAATTAATCTCTCTTCTGGAGACAGGGTGTATAGAGCAGACAATGTAGAAATGGAAAGGGTGCCACCTAAGAGATTGTAAATGTGCAACAGAGAGAACAGAGTGATGTTTGACTTGGAGGAAAGTGTAGCTAATACACGTGAAGAGAAACAATCTCAAATATAAATATTTAAGAAGTCAATTAAATGAAGGAAATTTTAATGTTGAACTAGACCTGGGTGAGGAGTGGAGAGAGGGGTTAATGGATAATAAAGTAATCTGACATTTAAGCAATACGACAGCCCAAAAGGCCAATGGTATTCTTGGCTGTATAGGGAAAGAAATGATTCAGAATGGAGGGAGGAAGGGAGAGAGAAGTCCTAGAGCTTGGGAGAAAACCTCATTTTGGTGTTTGATTCTGCTGTCACCTTCTTGTTATTTAACATCTTTGGAGTCTAGAGTCTTCATCGAGTAATTTGGCCAATGCTAATACTCTTAAGGATTTTTTGGACCAAAAATCAGGGAATACTTTTTTTCTCTTGGTAAGTCACAAATAACTATTAGGTTTTTTTTTTTTTTTTATAGTGAAAGATTCAAAACTCTAAGAGACAGACATCAGTAAGAAGAGGTTTTCCCAAGCTTTAAATTTTTCTTCTCAGAAAGTGCCAGTAGATCTTACTGCTGATGAGATTTCCCTCCTTGAGCTATTTCAAAGACCAGAAATAGAAGCCTACTCTATCTTAGGAGGGGTGGTTCAGAGAGGTTTGTCCACAGTCAATCTCCATAGACACATCCTAGTTGCTGCTTCTCTTTTGCAAGGTGACCTGCCTCCCTTTTCTATATCTAAGATAAGAAATAGTGATTAAGTCTAATGGAATCATTACAAAGCAGCGATAACATATAAATTCTCCTGACATGGCGTGGTGTAAAGACTTTCATGAGTCTTACATGGTGTAGAACATGATGTAGAACATTTTATGCCTTTGCTCCCTTCCGTTTATAACTTATGTAAGTCATCTTGTGGGCAGAAAATTGCCTATCTTTCTGTACCATGCTTCCTAAAGACAGTTTATCAAGTCATTCTGTTTACAGATGCAAAAAGCATTATGACATGTAAATGATCAGGATTCCTCCTGGATTGCTTCGCAGGATTGTCCAAGGACCCCTTCCCTAACTCTCCAGCTAAATGTGGTGTCCTTCTTAATGAAGATGATAGCGCCAACCCAACAGGATTTGAACTTTTTAGTTATTTTTCAGTATAAGTGGCAGGAAGGGAAAGCTATTACCTGTGTCTGGGTAGAACAAAATTTAAGAGAGAGTATTGCACTGGAAATATCCACATCCTTAGGGAAGGATGGAGTCCCTGGGTGGTTCAAATGGTTAACACGGTTAACACTCTTGGCTACTAACTGAAAGGTGGGAGGTTTAAGTCCATCCAGAGGCACGTTGGAAAAGGCCTAGCAATCTGTTTCTGAAAAATCAGCCATTGAAAACCCGATGGAGTGCAGTTTTACTCTAACACACACAGAGTCGCCATGAGTTGGAATCAACTTGACGGCAACTGGGTTTTTTTTTTTTTTTAAGGAAAGATGAGATAAAATCTTATGTGGGGCTATTTATTCTTCTGAAGCTTAGAATACTTTTAAGATCACTGGGGGTGGTTTTTGCCTTGTGTGCCAACTATCTCTGTGAGGTTTAAATAGTAAAATGTGCTACCGCTGAAGTTTTGTTGTGCAGAATTTAAAGGTATGTATAAAAGACAGGCTGGGGGAAGGTGTTAGATACATTTTCAAGTTGGGTTTAACCCAAAGCTAAATATTTTGATGCTGTTAAGATGTGTGATATTTATCAGAAGAAATATTACTTCTTGAATTGCTTCCCAGTGTGCATTTGAGTAAAAATTAAACACTTGATAAATGAAGTGCTCAGCTGCATATTTTATATTAACCATCCCCATGACCCACAGTACTTGCAAAATGATCTGTGGAAGAATAATGTGGTGGATACTTTAGATGGGGTGGTCAAGAACATTTAAGCTGAGTTTTGAATGGCAAGAAGCTATCAGCCGTTTGGAGATGCAGGAAAAAAGAATAGCAACTGCAAAGACCTCAAAGTGGGAATGATTTTGGACTGTTAGAGGACCAAAAAGAAGGTCAGTGAGGCTGGAGTGGAGGGTCCTGGGGTGGAGTGGAGGGTCCTGGCGTGGAGTGGTAAGACATGAGGTTGGGGGGTGCAGATCATACAGTACTTTGGAAATCAGATTTCGTGTTTAGTAAGAAGGGAAGCTGTTGATGTATTTTTAAAGGGAAAAACACTGGTTTCTGGTGAAACCTGGATTAGAGAAGGGCAGAAGAAGATGGAGGTGGTGGGTAGGGAATAGGAAATAAGTAGACTGGAGCAACTGTCCAGAACTGGGGTGGTAGTAATGGAGCAGTTGAGGGAAAGAAAGTGTGGTGAAAGAAGCCGAGTATCAGGCAGGTGGGATAGGCCTCTAGGTTTAAGGGGAAGGATCTGCCTGTTCTACAGGAACTTTCATCTGCATTGAGGATCTAAGGACCACAACCTTTTAAAAAACAGCATCTTCACAAGTCACTGAGGACGTAGCTCAACATTGACTTTTGATCTCTGAAGATATTTTTATAATCAAGGAGCTGCATTTTTTTCACCCCCCCCCCTTTTCTTTCTAGACAGACTTCCTGGATATGTGGGTGGAGGCTGTGGAATGGGAGGCGTTCTGGGGATGGTTCAATTTGCCTTAAAGAAAGATACTGCTCACTTGGGGAGTCTCAAGGTTCAAAGGGGAGGGGCGGGGGGTGTTAATATTTATTGTGCCAAGGGCCAGGAGTTTTGCATACCGGATCTTTCATTTCATCTTCCTGATAACCCTGTGATGTACATCATTTATATCTGTTTTTCAAAAGAAAAAGCTAAGGCTCAGAAAGCTTCTTTATTTTTGTCTAAAGTCACACAGCTTGTAAGTTGTCGAGGCAGGACGGCAACCAGAGCGCCGCTCTCTGCACTCCCGACACCACCCTGGATCGGGGTTGGTTTGTTTCCCCTTCCTCCTCTTCATTATTATCACACCCATCGTGGGGAGGGCCGCGACTTCTCTTTCTTTCATGTACTGTGTTTGCCTCCTCTACCCCAGAGTATCTACCTAGTAAGGTGCTCAGCATACATCCCTGCCTGGAGGCAGTACCTTCTTCTTGCTGCCACACATCAGGCGTGGGTGAGAGGAAAGGCAGGACTGGCGAAGTAGATTACTGCGCTGCTGCCGCGGCTGCTAGGTAATGGGGAGGGACTTTTCTGCCTGTTCCTTTCCCCGAAGGTATTTTCCATTTCCTAGCCCCCTCCCGTTCGTTGTCCTTCACCCCTCGCCCCACTGCTTCAGCTAGGGTAGGGGGTGCCTGGGAGCGTCCCTCGCCGCGGGGCTGATCACATTTCGGGGCGTGGGGTCCTTGTTCTCTGCGCTTCAGCCAAGCTGTGCGCAGAGCTTCGTTCCCTGACGCCTGGAGCCCAGCGGGCATTGACGTCAAGCGGCGGCGGAGCGCTGCCTACAGACGGTTGACCCGGACCCTCCTCCATACTCTTTTCCTAGCTCGCCCCCTCCCCTCTCCCTGCCCCAGGGCTCTGACTTGCTATAAGAGGCGGGAGCGCAGGCTGCCCCTAACAGCGCCGAGTTTCAGCACCATGGAGAGCTCCAGCCTGCGACTGCTGCCACTCCTGGGCGCCGCCCTGTTGCTGCTACCTCTGCTGGGCGCCCGTGCCCAGGAGGACGCCGAGATTCAGCCCCGAGCCCTGGACATCTACTCCGCCGTGGAGGACGCCTCCCATGAGAAGGAGCTGGTCGGTATCCCTTTCGCCCTGGAGCCCCTTGGGCTGCCTCTCAGTCCTTTCCTTTGCACGTCCTCTTATTCCCTAGCCCCAACTCCCATTCCCAGAGACAGAACCCGGGGAGCTGAGCGCAAAGCCCAGGCACTCGCTGCTATCCGAATATCGTCTCGAGCTCATAGGCTCCACTGTAGTCTGTAGTCTGTTGAGGTCATGGGCTCCACAGGCAGCCTGTAGAGGGAATCCCCTGTTTTGCCCTTCGGATCAACACGAGCCTCAGCTCAGCGGCTCCGGGACCTGAGGTCAGTACCTGGGACAGCTCTCTCCCGCTAACTTTCCACCCTTCCCCCCGGAGCTGTCGCGGAGTCCTACCCGCAGAATGTGTGTGGGTCCAGGGCGCCTTATAATTACGGCGGGAAGTGAGCACCTGGGCTGGGCTCGCAGCCAAGGCGGCAACTTCGAGCTCCTGGGTGGTGTATTGCAGATCGAAGCGCTGCAGGAAGTCCTGAAGAAGCTCAAGAGTAAACGCATTCCCATCTATGAGAAGAAGTACGGTCAAGTCCCCATGGTAAGGCTTTGGGGTCACTCCCTCCCCGTGTTTTTCCAAGAGAAAACACGCCACCTTGAATCTCACACACGACCTTCTCTCTAGGATGGTAACAGGTTTGCAGAATTCTGTGGGCTCCCCTTTGCTTACACCTCCAGCCCTCTTCCCTTGGTCTCCAAGTGCAAAGGGTAGATCTGACATTTCAGAGGACTGAACCGCTATGGCAGGAACCAGCTCTTGGGTCTGTGTTAGAAAGAGCATTTCCTGAGGATAAGCTTTTGGTTTCACCTCACGAAGGTCTCAGAGTTAGAAGTGAGTCCACTCAGTTCTTGCTCCCTCAATTTCTCCCTGCCTTCTGGAGCACTGCCCGTTTTTGGATCCAGCTTCTAGGGTCAAAATTCCCGATTCAGGGCTGGTTACCTTCCTTGGATAGCGCCAAGTAAAAGACACAATTCACGCGAACACACACACACTTTAATCTTCCTTCTTCCAATTAGGACGAGGGAAAGCTGGGATCAGCGGTTGTGAGAAAGTATTGCTCATTTCTCAGACAAAATATATGATTGATTTTTTTCTTTTGGAAGGGCAAGAAAAGAGCCGGGAAAATGTGATATATGTATATTTTTCTCTCTCAAAAAGTGGAAGAAAAGGAAAAGGGTCCGAAGACTTTTTTTTAAAAGTTTTTTTTTTTTTAAGCGGAAATGATAAGGGCGAGGCTCCCTGCTGTGGTGGTGATGGGGTCTGTCCATCCCCTTCAAGAGGCAGAAATTGCCTTGACGGGGAGACTGCCCCTTGGGAGTCTGGGTTTGCTCAAGCCCAGTGACCACGCGTGTGTTGTTTGCAGTGCGACGCCGGCGAGCAGTGCGCGGTGCGGAAAGGAGCGAGGATCGGGAAGCTGTGCGACTGTCCCCGAGCAACCTCCTGCAATTCGTTCCTCCTGAAGTGCTTATGAAGGGGCACACACCCTCCTTCATTCGTCCCCCTCCCTTTATTTTCCCCAAAGGACCACACCTTCATCCGTGGAGTTTGGCTTTGGCAACAAAGTTTGCACTTCACTCTGAGGGCGAAGGGGCTCTTTTCCTCTGTTCCCAAATAAGACAACACATTAGATGTTACTGTGTGAAGGGTAATGCCTCGTATGGTGTTGATACGTGTGCAAAGTATTCTTTTCTCATTTTATTTGTGTAGCAAGCTCTTGTGTATCTTTGTGTAAAGAAGGGGAACTTTGCTTTGAAAATTGTATTTTTGTATGTGGCATGACAGGATGAAAATTAGATCTGTTAATCTTGGTAGATGACATCATCACCTGGAAAATTAATCACCCTAAGAAACACGAATTGAAGCATGTACAAATTATACATAATAAAGTGTTTTTAATAATTGCTCATCGTGCATTGTTGTTTCTATGTAAGTAATTTAAGCAGGAATGATGAGATTGATTAATCATGCTGTTGTTTTCAAAGAGAAATATTTTCAAAACAGCAGTCTATTGGGACACCAGTACCTTGGCCCCAAGGAGTTTTGCTCATTAATTAGGAGTTTCTCACCCAGGCTCTGGTACACTCTATTGTTCTTTGAGGAGCCCTAGTGGCGCAGTGGTTAAGAGCTCAGCCTCTAACCCAAAGATGGGCTGTTCGAATCCACCAGCAGCTCCTTGGAAACTCTATGGGGCAGCTCCTTGGAAACCCCTATGGGGCAGTTCTACTTTGTCTTAAAGGGTCGCTACGAGTCAGAGTCCACTTGACGGCAACTGGTTTGGTTGTTGGTTTTATTGTTCTTTGATTGCAGTGGAGACGGCTGCAAGTGTGTGTGGTGAGATGGGGATGGCTGGTGTTGAGCTGATATGATTTTAACAGTGAGACCAATAAAAGATAAATTGTCTCAGATTTTAGCCAAATAAAAAGCAATTTGAAAAATGAGAACTTTTGTTTGAAACTCAAAGTATCATTCATACATTGATAAAACAAGGACACTTTGAGGATTGTAGTTTGTACCAAAGGAAGGGAAATAGTTATGTCAGGTGCTCCCGAGGATGTGAGACCCAACCTTTCCCACTAGTCAATATACAATCTTGGGAAAAAGCTTTATTCAAAGGAAAAAATAGTCATTTCAAGAAATAGTTTTGAGGTGAGCAAATAAAAATTATTAGGGGCAGATTCAACCCAAGAAATACAAAATCTTAAATGGAAAGTTTATAGTCTTTACATATTCAGGGTGCTTGCCTGAGGTCACATTCTCAACAGTTTAAACCAGACAAAGTAACATTTAAGAAGCAGTGTCATGAGAGGAACAGATGTTAACGGCAAACTCAAAAGGCATCTGCATAATAGTAGAATTTAAACACTGAGTGCACTGATTCATGGAGAGATACAGTAGGCTGATAGAAAATATTATATATAATCGCTATTTACAGTGCCCTTATGATTAGCATTTCTAATCTTCCTAAAAATCTTTCAAGATAGATATTATTACCATTTTTCAAAGGAGGAAGCAGAGGCCAAGAGAGATTAAGAAATTAGTTTAAGTCATTGATCTTAACTCATGATTTCAGCTCTAATCCCTCTGGCTCCAAAGAGCTGTCCATGTCACTCCAGACAATCTAACAGGCAGTTTAGGCTCCAAATTCTCCAGAAAGCACTTTGCTCTTTAATTGAAATTAGCTCACTGGGGGCCAATGTGCTTCTTTTGGGTTACATTTCCGTTTGAATTCCCTCTAACAGGCCATTTTGTGACGAAAATGTGGTACCTTTTTATCTTTAAAAACTGCAAAGAGTTGTTTAATAGCTTCACACTCTGCTATTTTTCCAGAAAGTTGACAGTTAAAATCCTAACCCCATTATTGAGCCCCTTAACTGTTCACATTTATGTCAGTCCTAGGCAGATCAGAAAATTGCTTTAAACATTGATTAGTGCTCCACAGGACCCTCAGGGATTAACACTTCGAACTGCTTCCTATTTCAACCTGGACTGTTTTCCTGACAGCAGGAGATGCTGGGAGGAATTTGTAGTTCAAAGACGGGAACAGTAACTCTGCTCTAAACCCTTTTACCTTGCCTCCCTCATCCATACCCCTACTATGTCAACTTTCCTTTCTTGTCTAATAAAACTAAAGGGTCTGGACAAGTGGCTATCAGGGATTGGTGACGAGGAATCTTTGGGCTGGGCATGAAAAGACTTTTTCTAAAAATTTTGTCTGGAGGCCTAGATTTTAAGATCATGGTGCTAATGACATTTTACATTAATGATGGCAATATTTAATCTTAAGTGGCTTGTTAGATATAACTTTACCTTTCCATTTTATCAACAGTAGAATTTCTCTTCAGATAGAATGCTTTAGTATGTTCAATGATTGAAGGTCCCTGTGGTAGGGGACAAGAATGTTAAAGATTAAGAAACTTCTAACGAGAAAAGTAGTCATCCATATGGAAGGCCCCGAGTCCAGTTTCTGAGACTGGCTTAAAGATCAGGGGTCTGAAAGTTGACAACTAGCTACATCTAAACATCTGGGGAATATTATAAGGTTTAGGAATGATACACCTAGAGCAGAAAGTCTCATGTTATTGTAGTCAGGTGCCGTGGAGTTGATTTTAACTCATAGTGACCCCATGTGACATAGTAGAACTGCCCAGTGGGGTTTCTTGGCTGTAATCTTTAAGGAAGGATATCACCAGGTCTTTCTCCTGCAGAGCCACTGGGTGGATTCAAACTGCCAACCTTTTAGTTAGCAGCTAAGCACTTAACTGTTGCGCCACCACAGCTCCTTAGAGATTCTCATAAAACAAAACAAAACAAAACAAAACTAGTTGCTGTTGAGTTGATTCAGACTCATAGCAACCTTATAGGACAGAGTAGAATTGCCCCATAGGGTTTGCAAGGCTGTAATCTTTACGGAAGCAGACTGCCACATTTTTTCTTCTATGGAGCTGCTGCTAGGTTCCAACTGCCAATCAGTTAGCAGCCAACCTCTTTAACCACAGTATCACCAGATCTACTTAGAGATTCTCATGGGGGATGGAAATGGCAAATGAAAATTACTAGGGGACTTTTCTCAATTATGCATGACCACTTCCCTTCCCACACAGGTTACTAATACTATACGCCTCAAACCATGCCAGAACCTGGAGGACGGGGAGGGACACATGGTCCCTAACCACCTTCCCAATTCTGATAATGGTGCATCTGAATCTACGTATGGGTAGTGTAATTAGGGAGATGGATGTAGGGTGGAGTGGTTTAAATAAAATGCTCAGGTGGTTCTGCTCAGTTTCCTTTCTTAGAACCACTAAGCTAGATAAGACTAAGCTAGTTTAATATAGTTCATTCATCTGTGTATTTATTCATTCATTGCACCCATTTCTGAACGTCTACTACGTACTAGGTGCAAAGAACATAATAGTGAGCAAGGCAGACATGATCTCTGTCCTCATGGAGTTTATAGTCTAGTGGGGAAAACAATAAGAAACAAACAAACAAAATAAAAAGCCATTAGAAATTCTATGAAGGACACCGTAATAGCAGTGAAGATGATATTTGAGCTGAGAGTTGAAGGATAAGGGGCCAGTCATGCCATGGACAGGGGTGGATGGAGAAAGAAGAAAGGAAGAGTGCTTCAGGTAGAGGGTATGGTATGTACAAAAGTTCAAAGGCAGGATAGAGGTTGATATGCTTGAGGAACTGAAAGAAGACCAGTGAACTCTTACAAAATGAATGACAGATGGGAAGAGGTCCAAGGAGCTACCCCTGTATAGAGATCTCAGGGCCCTCACGGGAGTACATTGTTGTCTTGATCAGATGCCAGACGGATTTAGATAATTGATGTTTATAGATCAGGAACATCTCAGGAGAAAGCCGGGCCAAAAGTGAGCAGGGCGTCTTCCTAGAATCAACTTTTAGTCTTCTTTTTTCTCATTGATAAACCAAACCAAAACCAAACTTGTTGCCATCAAGTTGATTCTGACTCACAGCAACCCTATAGGACAGAGAAGAACAGCCCCACAGGGTTTCCAAGGAGCAGCTGGTGAATTCGAACTGCCGACCTTTTGGTTAGCAGCTGAGTTGTTAACCACTGTGCCACCAGGCAAGATGAGTGTAATTCTCTCTTGCCTGGTTAATGTGTGTTTATGATTTATTTCCCTTTATCTTCCCTTCCTATGGGTAGGTGTGCTCTTTAGGGTCTCTACTCTTGAGGTCTTTCGGTACAACTCTTTTGTCTTGAGAATAGTTTACCCAAATATTTCTAGCTGGTGTTCCATGAACTACTGAGAAGAGGAGTCAGTAGAAAGGAAGCGGTTAAAAATTCAGAAGAAAGAGAAGGTAATTGATGGAGTGAGGCTCCTGTCAGGGATGAGAGTATGAAATCCAGATGCAGGAGAAAGATTAGCTTTGGGGAAGGGGTAGAGGGTGGAAAGATAGCTCTGTCACAGGATGTGCACAGATGCAGGTGACTTTGTAGGTGAGTTGGCAGGAAGTTGGAGGTAGTTCTTTTATGGCTTCAGTTATCTAAAAGGAGCAGGATATAAAGTCATATGTTGAGAAGGAGGAGAAGCAAATGATTCATTCAATAACTGTATATGTGAATAATGTTGAATATCTCATGGACCATCAAAAGGATGAACAAATCAACCTTAGAAGAAATATGACTAGAATGCTCCTTACAAGTGAGGGTGGCGAGACTTCAGCTCGCTTACTTTGGACACGTCATCAAGAAAGACCAATTGATAGAAAAGGACATCATGCTTGGTAAAGTACAGGGTCAGTGAAAATGAGGGAAACCCTCAATGAGTTAGATTGACACAATAGCCGTAACAATGGGATCAAATATACAATGATCATGAATATGGTGCAGGACTTGGCAATATTTCATTCTGTTATACATAATGTCTTAGGCTTGGTTCTCTAGAGAAGTAAAACCAGTGATGCCTATATATATATATCTATAC